CCGTGGATACAAGCTAGCACCTGTTTCTAAGGCAGCAAATATTAAGAGAGGCATTCCTGTGACTACAAGCAGAATAACAGGAGAATTAATTGTTTGATTTGGTGGCATCTATTGGGGCCACTTGGCAGTTATAAAAGGGAGTTCATTTGTGAATTCAAGTCCGAAAGATTCTTCTTAGAGCATTTGTCAGACAGATATCATTCCAGGCAGTTCAGTGTGTGACCAGTGATTGGTCATTCCTCACAATGGAAGAGAAGAGACTCGTGGTCCAGTAAGGAATGGAGAGTTGTGGACAGTCATTGATTGTGTGCTTTCATAATTGACTGTTAATTGTAATAGAGACATCCAATAAATTCAGTCATCAAATCCAGAACCCATTATTATTAGCCATTCCATCCCTGAACACTTGACAGTGTTAATGCAAGAAAAATAAGGTAAAAAAATATTCCTACTTAATCTTGGGGTTTTGGATTGAAATATGTGAATGTAAAACTTAGTGGTCCCCTTTACTGTCTTTGTAAAATATGACTATTGCTAGGGGATCCACTCCACATACGAGGGGGGACCCAAAAATAACCAGAAAGGACCTGTTGCTCGTGCATGCTTTGTAGTTACGAGTTGTGCTGCTAGGTGGTGTTAGCTGGGGGTCTCCCGCGACTGATAATGAGCTGGCGTCAGTCTGAGTTAAGTGGTTTGTCTGTGGTGCTCTGTTGTGTGCATTCCTGTTTCAACCCTTTGGCGATTAGTGAGATGGCCGACCAGAAGGAACAATTCTTTTAAAAAATTCTGGATCGTTCTGCACTTCACTCTTAAGTCGCGGCAAACATTCATGCCGTTTTCTCTTTGGTCATCTCCGAGCAAGCGAGGAACAGATTTTGCAGACACCCGTCTCATGTGCAAACCTTCGGTTAAAATTCGCTGGACCGTGCTCCATGAGATGTTCGTTTCCTCAGAAAGTTGGTCAATGGTCTTTCGACGATCTTCATCAATTGCACGTTTGATTTTGGCAATGTTTTCGTCATTTCTTCCTGTCAAAGGACGCCCGGGGCGTGGCATGTCTTCTGTTGACATGTTGCCAGATTTGAAACGGGAAAACCACTCGTAGACCTGTGATTTCCCCAAAGCATCATCATTAAAGGCTTGCCGAAGCATCCCAACAGTCTCGGCTGCAGTTTTCCCTAACAGAAAGCAAAATTTCACGCACACTCTTTGTTCCTTCTGGTCGGCCATCTCACTAATCGCCAAAGGGTTGAAACAGGAATGCACACAACAGAGCACCACAGACAAACCACTTAACTCAGACTGACGCCAGCTCACTAACAGTCGCGGGAGACCCCCAGCTAACACCACCTAGCAGCACAACTCGTAACTACAAAGCATGCGCGCGCAACAGGTCGTTTCCGGTTATTTTTGGGTCCCCCTTCGTACTCATAATTCAGTCATAACATCATAAAATCAGATATTGAGGAAATACAAAATAAAGGTTTCACGAAACTCTTCTGAATAGAAGACAGGGAGACTGTTGTTAGCAGATAAACCTACCAGCAGAATTATTATGTATAATGTATAACTGCCACGTGCACATTCATAACCTCATGCACCACCGTTATAGTTTTATTGTCAACAGTTCATCGTGATTTGCTGTCTGTGAAGTTGTCTCTTTCAGCTGCCAGAATTTGGTCTTTGCTGCTTGAAGTGAGCATAATTCTGATTGTTGAAATGTGTGATTTGATACACCATATTTCCCACCAGTGTTTGACATACTACAAGTAGAGCATTTGGACAATGACATTGATAATTTTGTATGTTGCATTAGCAGAATTCGGTTTTAGTAGACTAGAATATCCTCATTCACTCACTCCTGGAACTGAGCCCTTCTTGAGAAGCTGCCAATTGTGCAGCTACTCAAAAACTTCCCAACATTTTATGGAACCCGAAGGTTCATTACCGTGTTCACAAGAGGCCTCCACTGGTCCCATCCTCCTTGACTTGATCATTTTAATGATACTTGGCGAAGAGTACTAGTTATGAAGCTCATTATGCAGTTTTCTCAAACCTCCCATCACTTCATTTCTCTTCAGTCCAAAATATTCTCCTCAGTATCCTTTATATCTGAGAACAGTGGCGTGCCATGCATGGAAGCAAGGGAAGCATTGCTTCCATAATTAAGAAACGAAAAGAAAAGAAGTCATATATAAATAATTCAGTTTGAATATTGTCATTTAGCGCGTGTTCCTGCTCAAGGCCACATGCTGCCTCCTCCACCTACCCTACCCTGCTTGGGGGACGGACAAGTTTCCTTCGTTAAACTCCATAAAAATTTGTCTCACACAAAGTGAGTATGGAAGCAACTTTCAGTTTGCTGGCTAATGCCTGTGATGTGGAAGCGAAGAGCTGTGGTCTTTCGATGGTTATATGAAAATTAACTGTTTATGTGTGATTTCAGCCTTTTTGGGTGTTATAGGTAACATTAAGTTTCAGTAAAATATTGTGTGGCGTAAGATTGTATTTGTGATCATATTTTGACTCGTCAGAAAGAAGCCATCCGCGTTTAAGGGAAGCAAGCCTGATATTGAGGTACGAAGGGCAGGGGCGTGATTAGACTACACGCACAGGACACAGCTAAAATGAATGCTGGCAGACAACGTGACTGCGATTGTGCAATCGAAAGCCTTTTAAAACGGGAGTTTAATAGCAGGGACTTTCCTGAAAAGAAAATAATTATAAACAGAGGACGACTTACATGTGAGTTGCCAGAACTTAAAGCAAATACCAAATTATGTGTGAGGAAATTTAATTTGGAACAGTATTCTAAAACAGAGTGGCTACCAGTTGCTGTAATATAGGAAAATTGTTTTGTTGGCCATGCCTGTTGTTTCTCAATGAAAAAAAATGTATGGAACAAGACTGGGTTTGGTGATATCAACAACCTTCATGAAGCATTGAAACGACATGAGAACTCTCAGACTCGCATTATTTCAACAATGCAACTTGTTATGTTCGGGAAATCTCGAATTGACTGTCAACTTGATAATCATAAGTGCCTGGCGATACTACAGCAGATTGAAAATGTGAAAGAAAATAGAGAAATAATGAAACAATTGATATCATCTGCCATTTAGGAGAATGGCAACTTGGCCTCCATGGTCATGATGAAAGCGTGGATTCTATCAACCAAGATAATTATGTGGAATTAGTACACTTGTGGAGGAAACATCATCATAAACTCAATGTTCACCTTGATAACAGTACCGTATTTACAGGTTTATTGAAAAGAATACTAAACGATCTTACTGACTCAATAAGTGACGTAAATTTTGGTGAGTTGATTGCTATCAGATCGTTTATTAGATACCACTGCTTCCCTTACCAAAAATAGTACTGCAGGCCACTGTGTTAGAATATCCATGTAGACATGAAAATATGTGACATTCTGCTAATGAAAGAACCAGGTATTGGGAGCACCCACTTTTGTGATTTCCTTGTCATTGTACACACTTGAAATGTTACATTATTGTGTGGTGCATTCTTATCCATTTCATGTATAAAACACATTGTCCTCTCCACTTAACTGCTGGTATTGTAGTAGGCAGTACCTTGTACCTCCAGAACATACATTATTGCTTTAGGTTTATATGGGCCAGGGAAAATGGTGGATACCATAACATGTTTGTGGTGAATTTGTATTCATTTTATATACTAAGATCATGCAGCTCAATTTCATTTCTACATTTTACTGCTGGTATCTTTGTAGGCCCTACCTTGTACCACCCAAGAAATCATTCATATGTGGGCAAGAACAAAATTAATGAGGTCTGTCACAAGGCAAAATTTAAATGTTAAATGATTTTTCCCTTTGACAAGATCCTAGAAAGCATCAAAAAATTCTTGACTAATATCACTAGTTCATAAACAAGGAACTGGTGTCTCTTTCATGATTATCTTGTAAAAGTATTTTTTGGTAAAGACTGGGACATCACAGAGGTACACTGATGGTAGTAGCTATGAGCTTATTTAAAAGTGAAATTTAATTTTCAGTTAATGTTTCAAGAAATAGGATGTTTCTTCTGCCAAGATCGATTCCATTTTGAAACGTTACCTCGTGAAGAGTGGAGCACGTGGTAGCGTAGTTGGTTGAGGCATTATGCTACAACCTGGAAGGTCGCGAGATCGAATCCCGATGAAGTCATTGGGTTTTTTTCAATTTACCTAAACCTTCCAGCCGCACTATGGCCCTGGGTCGACTCAGCCTCTAACAGAAATGAGTACCAGGAATGTTCTTAGGAGTAAAGGGCGGTCAGCGCATAAGGCTGACAACCTTACCGCCATCTATGAGCCGATTGTCTAGAAAATGTGGAAACCTCAACATCTTACAACCCTATGGGCCTCCATGGCCTTTTACAGGGATACCTTTACTTTACTTTTACTTTACCTCGTGAAGAGTTCTGTCTTCTAGGACATAACACTATGTAGTCCATTGATAGTTAAACAAGTACCTGCTTCATGCTTGGCTTACTCGTCAACTGTGATGATTAAAGTGATATATATACATGTTGACTGACAACAGACTATAGTGTATTCTTAATAATCAGTTTTGAGGAACCGAATTCTACATTTTTACCCCATGATTAAAGGCCTTATTTCAGTGTCTATAGGATTCATAGTAGTGTTTCTGTGAAAATACAGGCATTAACTTGGAAGAATTGGCACGCCAAAGGACGGACGAATTTTTATTCTTGGTGTCAGTAGACGGGGAGAATTTTAAATTACGTAGTAATACATAATACATAATATTTAAAAATAAAAATATGGAACACGTTACATACAGTAAGCAATATTACATTCCTACGAGAGTTCAAACCAAGATATCGATACTTGGATCGATTTGGATTTCCTGTGCAAATCGATACGGAGTACCTACGCGTATTTGTAGTCAATTGTTTTTTAGACGAGCGCGCCATCCGACGTACGATCATGGAACTAGTCAGTCGTGGAGTTCGGTTGCGATGTGAAAGGAGTTATTGTGGTGTTGGTTTTGTGCTAGTAAAATGTTAAGTGCTATTGATTTTCTTGTGAAATACAATGGATGATTGACAAGAATAATACTTCTGTAGGTGTTGGCCAGTATGTGGACACCGACCAAAACAAAGAAATATGGCGTTGGCAAGTACAATTCTGAATACATAGTTGCTTGTACTTCGATTTTTTCAGCATATAAGGCATTCACATTATTGTGTAGTGACTAAAATGACGTTTGTTATAGTTCGCAGTTGTGCATGCCTATCATTATTTATGACTCATGTGAAAGCGAATTTAATTAGTAAACCCATTTAATGTTCTATAAGCATACCCGCCTCCAATGAAGACATTAAAACGGGTACCTACCTACCTACCTGTACAGTAGATGGGCACAAACAAGCCCATTCGACAACCAGAAATGCCTTTATAGCATAATAAGGGTAAGCGTCTGTTACAAGTGCGTAATGATCGAATTGCGGAGTGTGTTGTAACGAAACAGTTTATGAACTAAATGGAAACACATGCTATTTTTAAAGGCAATGACTTTTCCAGCTGATTACCCAACTATGACTGAAACTATATACACCCAATTGTGTTATATTTTTCTTGTTCTGTGTTTCAGGGAACCCATACTTGCTGTGTTTCGTTTAAATAGAATAACAGGCATTTCAATTATAGTAACACGGACATTTATTTGGTAATTAAACCTGGCATCTTAAATATACCTATGAAAGTATGCGTGTTCGATATACGAAAGAAACTGAAACCGAACACAAACCATTAACAGAACATTTCGCTGTTCAGTCGGATGCCTTGTATGTTTTTACGTGCAGTATCGACCATCTGAACGGGTCTTTTTTCACCTTCCATCCCACGGATTTGCAAAAACCAAGTACCAATATATTTATTGATCTGTTATGGTTGATGTTACTATATAAAGTGGCGAACAGTATTAGATGTTGAAGTTTGGAGAAGGATGTGGTAGCCGGTATTTTTCTCTCTTGTCACCCATCGATGAGGTAAGACACATAAGAAAGATTTAGAAGGTGGGGGGAGGGGCAACCAGCCATCTGCCCCACCGCCAGGATTTTTGTAAAAAGAAATCTAAATCTAAGAAGACAAATAAACCAAATAATAATAATTCAGTTCATTTCCATTGTTTATTATTGTCACGTGTATGAGCGAATGTAGACGGGATTTGGAATGATAATTGAATGTATTGAACACTGCAAGTAACTATAGCGCAATTTCTAATTCACTCTCTCTGCAGTTCACTACAGCACGTACTAAGGCTTCTCAGTCTGCTGTGTCTTCACCAGTCGTTGCCTGGTGTCGGATCTTACCAATGTCCTCTGCTTCCGTGTTCTCGTTCTTACCGGCTGGCTACTATCTCACAACTAACTCCGTGTTCTGTCGGATGTCAACTATCTGAAGTCAAAGTCACATTGCAGTTGACAGTCAGTCTGTCTTGGTGTCGAGCTCCATCTGGGGCTCATGACCAGATATTTCTTCTTATTTGAAAGTTCCTGTCCTGCCCATGTGGGGCGCTCTCTCTGACGAGAGAGGCTTGTTCTGCTTACATCTCGGCATGGACAACACGAAAAACACCGTTCCTCTGCATCTATTCAATCGTTGCTTAGCGGACCTCACAGAAAACACCATTCCTTTGCTATTGCCTTCGGACCGCTGCCTAACAACGGCCGCTGTACACTTGCCAATCTAGCGGTCGCCGCCTTGTAATGGACCCACGTGCCAACAGAAGGGTATAAAGTATTTTAATTGAGTTATTCTGTTCTGAATGTGCCAGGGCGATCAGTAAAAATAATCCTAAGCTACCAAAATAGAAGTTTCTGTGAACATATTCTCCCCCCCCCCCGAAAGAATCCTGGCGGCTCTTGTTGTTAAGTCACGTCTTTATTGTACGCACACAAGAATAATTAAAAAAAGTAAAAGTAAAGGTATCCCTGTAACAGGCCGTGGAGGCCCATAGGGTTGCGAAATATTGAGGTTCCCACATTTCTAGACAATCGGCTCACAGATGGCCGTAAGATTATCAGCCTTACGCGCTCTCCGCCCTTTAACCCCAAGAACATTCCAAGAATATTCCTGGTACTCATTTCTGTTAGACGCCGAGTCGACCCCAGGGCCATAGTGCGGCTGGAAGGATTAGGTAATTGAAAAAAAATCCAATGACCTCATCGGGATTCGATCCCGCGACCTTCCGGCTTGTAGCATAGTGCCTCAACCAACTGCGCTACCGCGTGTCCCAGCACAAGAATAATAACTGGTGTGAAATTATTGTATCCGTAATATCAAAACTTAAAAAGGATGGAAATGAAAGAAAGAATTCTGCCTTTTGCAATATAAATCCGTGTAGTCCTTTGAAAGTCAACCAACGTTTCGGAGAAACATGTCGCCTCCATCTTCAAGGTCGAATAATAAGCTTCCGAGCGAGCGAAGACAGTGCATGCCTTAAACCGCTCGGCTACCGTGACCGGCAGAACCACCAGGTAACGTGAAGGAATTGGTTGTTCTTGTGAGGATTAACGATGGTAACGGTGTACCTCTAAGCAGTCTCCACCTAATTCTCTTGAGGGAGGGTACCGTTTGGTTTGAAGTCACTTAAATATAATTTACCTTCCCGGGTGCGAACAAAATGATGAATATCACATTCTGCCCTGACTGTCTTCACTGCCGGATTCTTAATGCAACTTACAGAGTCATCAGAAATTCAGAACCTAGCGATCAGCTTACCGAATTCACATTCAATACGTTTTCTTCCTCTAAAGCCTGTAATTATATATATTCTTCTCTTATTGGTAAGTGATTTCGAGCATCCGATCGCATTCAGTCATGGTAAGAGTGGAATCGCCTCGTCCCTAACCAAGAACTTCGGGAAAGGGTTATATATAAGGAGCAGACGGTAGATCTAAAGGGCTAGGGATCGATATGCCCTGTTGTTTGGAAATTTGCCAATTTGCGAGGAGTGAACTACAGCACCATGTATATTTCGATCCGTACCTCCAAAGTCAAATGTAAACAGTCCAACTACATCAACAATGACCCTAAGATCAAAAGAAGAAAACATTTGTAGTTGTAATTACTGGATCGTTATTGTGAAAGCATTTCACAAAAATGTGTTTGCAATCAATCGAAACAGCACAACTGTTTCTCTGTAGCCCCGAGATGAACTCGTGTTTTTCCAAGTTTCTCCTCTTGGGACAGACGTATGTACAGTTGCCTCTGTCTCTCGTATAGAGATTATAGCCGATTCCATATTGTTCGCTTGTTTTCGGTACAGTTGTCTCTCTCGTATAGAGATTATAGCCGATTCCATATTGTTCGCTTGTTTTCGGTACAGTTGTCTCTCTCGTATAGAGATTATAGCCGATTCCATATTGTTCGCTTGTTTTCGGTACAGTTGTCTCTCTCGTATAGAGATTATAGCCGATTCCATATTGTTCGCTTGTTTTCGGTACAGTTGTCTCTCTCGTATAGAGATTATAGCCGATTCCATAATGTTTCGCTTGTTTTGGGTACAGTTGTCTCTCGATTCCATATTGTTTCGCAAGTTTTCGGTACAGTTGTCTCTGTCTCGTAGAGATTATAGCCGATTCCATATTGTTCGCTTGTTTTGGTACAGTTGTCTCGATTCCATATTGTTCGCATGTTTTCGGTACAGTTGTCTCTGTCTCGTAGAGATTATAGCCGATTCCATATTGTTCGCTTGTTTTGGTACAGTTGTCTCGATTCCATATTGTTCGCATGTTTTCGGTACAGTTGTCTCTCGTAGAGATTATAGCCGATTCCATAATGTTTCGCTTGTTTTGGTACAGTTGTCTCTCGATTCCATATTGTTCGCATGTTTTCGGTACAGTTGTCTCTGTCTCGTAGAGATTATAGTCGATTCCATATTGTTTCGCTTGTTTTGTTTGTAGTTGTCCGTTCTGTTCGGACAGGCGCATGGAGAGGCAGCAGGTGATTCCGTGCTGTTGAGTACGTTTTGATTACAGTGCGAGTGATAGCATAATGTCCTCTGTTGGGACAGCCATGTTAGTAATAGCCATAACATTAAGGATTTTGAATGGCTGTCATCACGTTTAGTTTTTTATAAGAATTTTGTTTATAAACAACAAAGATTATCAAAGTAACGATGACTCCCTGAATATAAGATGTGCCTTCGTGCAGTGGGTAGAGATGAAGAAACAAGTTGCTTGATAGAAACTACGGACTGGGAACGGAAGAAATGCATGAAGAAAGTAACTGTCATTTAAACGAGACCAAGCCCTGTCAGCTCCGTCGGGCGCTTGAGTTCTAGCGGCACCGGAAATTTCCTTACCGATGGCGATGCTGCAGCACGTACCGAACTTCCAGCAATGTTTGGCCAAGTGCACATTTTGTTTAATAACACGGTGTAAGTGCTAGTTCAGAAGCCTATCTTGTACCTAACAAAATGGCACCATTTTATCTTATTTCATATCACATGTTCTTTAAAACAAATTGCAGTTTTAATACGCACCAATGTATCTATAAGATAAAAAGGTAAAGCTATCCCTGTAACAAGCCGTGGAGGCCCATAGGGTTGTGAGACATCGAGGATCCCACATTTTTAGACAATCGGTTCACAGATGGCCGTGAGGTTGTCAACCTTACGCGCCGGCCGCCCTTTAGGCCCCCTGTACACACAGAGTTTGGCCTTCCAATCGACCTTAAAGGCAAAACTGTGACAGTTTATCCCCTCCCTTTCCTCCCCATACACGCGTAGATAAAGCGGCAGGCTTCATGCCACAATCACGGTCTTCCAGCCTATAATGTTGAGTCACACACGTCAAGTGCTACGGTCCTGCCGGCAGAACTGACGGACTGACGGGTTTCCCACAGGCCAACAGTCCAAACGACTGGCCGGCCGGCCGCACCACACACGTCAGTTTTGCCTTTCAGTCTTCAACTGTGCAGGCCGAACTGGAGGCCAACTGTGTGTGTGTGGGGGCCCTTATCCATAGGAAGATTCCTGGTACTCATTTCTGTTAGATGCTGAGTCGACCCCAGGGCCATAGTGCGGCTGTAAGGATTATTCCAATTGAAAAATCCAATAAACTCGTCGGGAATAGAACCCGCGACCTTTCGGCTTATATCATAGTGCC